AAAAACCTGGAGGCATTTTTGCTAGGTATGGTTGGAGAGGACATTAAAAAGGAAAATCAGAAATTCTTCCTGTATGCCACAACAGCAGGAAGACTACTCCTCACACAGAGATGGAAACAACAGGATATTCCGACAATTGAAGAATGGCAACAGAAAGTATTGGGAGTATGCAGAAATAGCAAGGCTAACTGGAAGAATCTGACAGCAGGACGGTGAGAAATTCCAAAAAGAATGGTCCAAATTTATGGTATACTTAGAGAAAACTGTACATAAATAAAGATACTCACAGGACTGAAATAAAACTCATTATGTTTACTGTAAACATTTGGTTAGACCACAAGATGTAATGCTGTAATATAATAGGGAATGTACTGTCTAAAGTATAATACAAAAATTTATTAAGGAATTATAGACATTTATAGAATGTATATATAATAATCACGCTTAAGAGCAATGTAGAGAAGCCACAAGAGGGGTGGAGGGAAGTTAATTCGGATAAGATATAGATTGAAAGGAGAATAATATTGTTAAGCTGTATTGTGTTTAACATATTTGGGGAAAAATAAATAAAAATATTGGGGAGGGGGGAGAAGTTATACATCTTTATCTGATCCATCTGTAGAGCTTGGGTTTACTTAAATGGAATTATCACATTTTATCTTCACAACAAACATAAGAAAAGCACTGGTGCATAGATCAGCCCAAAGACCTGATTAGTTCAACATTCTGTTCCTCAGGGTGGCCAACGAGATGTCTATGGGAAGCCCACAAGCAGGACATGAGCACAACTGCCCTCTCCTGCTTTTGATCCCTGGCAACTGGCATTCAGAAGAATACTGCACAATATTCCTATCTATTGTGAGCATTATCCATTGTTCACTTTATCTTGCATGAATTTCTTTAAGCCTCTGTCATGGGCCCGGGAGTGGGGGGTTGGTCAAGTCAGAGAACAGAGTAGCAGCAAACAGGTAACTCTGGGTAAGGAACTAGTAGGCTGGGAAGGTCTCTGGCTGGGTCAGGAGAGCCCAAGGAAGAGGATGCTGGAGAGGGTTCTTGTGATGGTGGTGGGGTCTGTTGCCCATTCCATCTTCCCATTAGCCTCCGCAGTGCAAGATATGGGCTGCCCCTCCAGAGCTGTCAGAGGCTGGTTTCAGCTCATCCACTTTGCCTTTCATGCCACCAATTCTGCGTCTGGAGTTGTCAGAAACCATATCTAATCCTGCCTCTCCAAGGGAGGTTACTGCCGCACCTGTCCCATTTGCCTCCAATGAGGCAGTGATGCTTCCTCCATTGCCTAGGTTACAGAGACACCAGTGCCAGCATGAACAGATGACGCAGTTGCACCCTTCTTGGAGAAGTGCCACATCGCTTGCCCAGTCTAAAGACCAGAACTGCTTGCCGTGCCAAGCTGTGCACATGCCAGGTGTGTTGTTGTTGGATCAACGTCTTTGCTTGTATAGTCATGTGTAGCACCCGTTGTGCTTTGAATCATCATTTTGCCTATGTATCACATGATATGAGTATTCAAGATATTGGTAGAAACAACCACCTGACTTCATCATTGAGCAGGAGCCAGGACATCTAAAGGTATCTAAGTAGGCAGCTATTACTTCATCTTGCAGCAGCAAATTTCAAAGTCCCAACTATGTGTTGTGTAATGTAGGTTAGGTGAGAGAAAGTGAGTTATCCAAAGCTGCACACTCAATGACCTTTATGGCAGAGAGAGGATTTGAACCCTGGTTCTCCCTTGTTCAGGTCTAGCACTCTATCGAATATATCACAATGGTAAAATCGGACAAAATGTAAGGCAATGAAATCACTAAAGCGTAAGTTCCAAAAAACAAATGGGTAACAACATCTACATTTCTTCCAAAACTTGCATATGAAAAATGTAGAATAACCACAGGAGCGCCTTTCTATGTAAGCTTTTCCAATTCTGCACTGTTCTTACATTCCACTGCCTGAGGGCTTGAAATGCAATCCTCATTTAAACTTGTTTCTCAGGGTATACATTCGTAAGGTCCTTGCTCAAAACTTTGTTCTCCCCAGACCTAACCCGCCCCCCCAACACACATACATACGGGTATTATTAGTTTTAAAAACTACCTACCAACTTCTGAGAGACTAAAAATTCTTCAAATGTGCGAGGAGGCTGCGGCACTGCCTAGAAACAAAGATACATTTGTATTACAAAAGAAACCCTCCATAAATGGTGCATGCCAGTAAAAGAAATATTAGGTGCTCAATTTAGCAACAGTAAGTCTGTGATGTCTACTGCTGGGTTTTGATAATTAGTATCTGAAAGAGGGAGCCATTACATTGAATAGATAACACAGAAAATAAAGGAACACAAGAAATTATGCAGAAGACTAACAAGAAAGGAGAGATACAGGGCTGGTTTACACAGCCACCCAAGCTGGAAATCCCTGTGCTTATTTGAGGTTCAAATGCATCAGCCACTCCCAGAGCTTATGCTTCTACCTCCACTGTCAGTGGTACTATGCCTCACTATACCAGTTGCTGGGAATCACAAAGTATGAATGCACTAATGGGGAATGCCTGGTGCTGCCTAGGAATTTAATTTAAAAAAAACAACGAAGAAAATTCTGATTTTTAAAAGGGCTGTGTGAGTTTTGGGGCTGTGTGTGTGGTGGTGTGCACACACACACACACAGGGTTCTGTGCATCCAACAGCATCCAAATATGGCCTGAAACCACCTTTCCACCTTGGAAAGCCTTTCTTGTAACCGTCACGCCAAATTGGGTAATGTCATGCCAAAGTCACATTTCAGTCCACCACCTTGTTTCAAAATGATGCCTGGCATCCAAATGTAGACTAAGAGCACTGGCTCCCCCTTGGGAACCATCAGACCAAATTAGGCAACAATACCTTCAGAACCATCCAACTTGGCGCAGGTTGGGCCCATTACACCAAATCTGACAATGCCCCATCCAAAAGGGTTGAGGATGTATTCAGAGGTGTCCAAATTGGCACAGTTTGGACCCATCGTGCCAAAAATCAGGTTAAGTCATGCCAAAGTCATGTTTCAGCTTGCCACAATATTGTTGTGAGGTGCTTTTGTTTTGTTTTTGAGGTGGGTGGAATCTAATGAAAGATTTCATTGTTCAAGTAGCCAGACAACGGCCATAATGGCCCTAAGTATGGGTTTTTAGTATAAGAAAGGAAGCTGCTCTGTGCCAGAGGGGAAATGGGTGTATAACATGCTACGGGCCATAAAATATTATACCAAATACAAGACATAGATTGAAACATTGCCTTTTACATTCTGGCTGCAGTTCCGCTCCATCAAAAGACATAAAAGCCAAAAGCATCTAGCTGTGTTTTTTTCTTCCATTTAACAGCTAGAGAAGACATCCTTCCAATGCAAAAATGAGCTGGTTTGTACACAATTATTTTGTAAGCCACTTTGAGTTACTTTCTGTAAACAAATCCAATAGAAATAAAATAAACTAGACTTCTGAGATGGTTAAAAAAAGAAGCGGCAAACTTATTGGTCTCACAATCTGGTGCACAATACTCCCACCCCACTCCGCATGTGGCAGATGCTATATGTGTAAAAATTATTTCTAGCAAACAAAACATATCCAAAGTGCTACCACTAAATTGCTCTTGTTTTCACAGCAGGAAATCTGCAACTACCGATCCCAGAATAGCTCTTAGTCATATATATTTCTGCAGGGTCCCCCCCCCGGGGGGGGGGGTTACTCATGCTAAAAGAACTGTAAAGTACCACATTTTTTTCTATTAAAAAAGCACTGTATTTATGGGATGCATTCATTTACTAGGCAGCAAGCACCCACATGGGAATAGCCAGGATTTTTGTTAGTGGGGGGGACCCAAAAAATTGTTGAGCTTTCTTTGGGAAGAGTATTTCTCCCAAAAGCTGCCCAAAAGGTCATGTCCTTATTATTGACTGGAATGTAATTTAAATTAACAAGATTTTGGAATGCAGAAATAAAGAAAACCACCAAACATCAATTCTACCATGCGGGGGTATCTAAATTATATAATTCAGTATTTCAACGATTGCTATTAGTCAAGAGGTTTAAACTTTAAAGACTGTCTCAAGGCAAATCTTTAAAAATGTAGCATAAACTCTGACAACTGGGAAACACCGGCCTGCGAGCGCTCCAGTTGGAGAACAGCCTTTACCAAAGGTGTCATGGGCTTTGAAGACACTCGAACTCAGGACGACGTACAGCTTCCAGGTCATGTGGCCAGCATGACTAAGCCGCTTCTGGCGAACCAGAGCAGCGCACAGAAACACCGTTTACCTTCCCCCCAGAGCAGTACCTATTTATCTACTTGCACTTGATGTGCTTTTGAACTGCTAGGTTGGCAGGAGCAGGGACCGAGCAACGGGAGCTCACCCTGTCATGGGGATTCGAACCGCTGACCTTCTGATCGGCAAGTTCTAGGCTCTGTGGTTTAACCCACAGCACCACCCTTTTGGTATTGTTATAATGAGGCTATTATTGGATTGTAAATTAATAATAATAATAATAATAATAATAATAATAATAATAATAATTTTTGAGGATTTAGGGCAGCATGTGCCCCACCCCCTTGACTAGGCCCATGGCCCAATCCTAAGCATGTTCCTTCACTATTCTCACTTTCAATGGACGCTTGGTCCTCAAGAAGTGCGCATTTACCCGGAGCAAGTCCCATGGAGGGAGGCAGAGGGAGAGGGGCTTTTTGAGTAAACATGCGCGCTGTTAAGCCTTTCAGGAGGCAACTTCAATTCAAAGGAAGGCTTATATTAACCCCCCGACCTTTGTGGCCGCCGTACTGCTCTCTGAGGCAGCCATGGAGCCCTTTGCGCACGGCCCCCTTTTCCCAGTCAGCGCCTCGTTCCGCCGCCCGTGGCGGAAGTCCGTTTTGGCGTTGCTAAGGCGCCTTAGCAACCGTCCCCCGTCGCCCTCCGTCCTCCACCTCAAATCATTCCGGCCTTCCCCGCCGGCCCCGCCACTTGAGTTCCGACCTCGAGGCAGAGGTATCTCGGCAAATATATATATATTTAGCTACGCAAAGATATATACACGCACGTTTCCGGGTGTGGGTGTTCGTGCGGCTGCAACGCGGTGGTAGCGGAGGACAGACGCCGTTTTCTACGGTGCAGTGGCTGTGACTGACACCCCCCCAACCCTGAGAAGGCGGAGGGAAGAACCCCCAGGCTTTGCAAAAAGTAGGTTGGTTTCCCTTTTCGAAGTGCTGCTCTATTTATTTGGGGATCCGGGGGGGTGGGGTGGGGGGTTGGAGGCCCCGAAGATCTCCCATTAAGGATGGGAGGGGAATGGAGGTTTTTCTTGTCCCCCGAGGTGCTTCCTCGGACCCTCTCCCAAGTTGCTTCTTTGCCCGATCCAGTGCATGGTTTAACAAAAGCGATAGTAATGCGTGAGATCGCAACAGTGGTTGTTTTGTATTCGCACCAGTTTACAACAGGAACGCACAGCAACAATCATCACAATAAAAACGCAGTGCGAGCGATCAGCTTAACAGCTGATAAATTCCAAAGTGTAAACAAGATTTGATGGATGCAATAATGGAATGCTGAACGGTATAGTTTTGTAATTATTATTATTATTATTATTATTATTATTATTATTATTATTATTTATACCCCACCCATCTGGCTGGGTTTCCCCAGCCACTCTGGGTGGTTCCCAACAGAATATTAAAAACATGATAAACGATGAAACATTAAAAACTTCCCTAAACAGGGCTGCCTTCAGATGTCTTCTAAAAGTCAGGTAGTTGTTTATTTCCTTGACATCTGATGGGAGGGCGCAACACAGGGCAGGCGCCAGTACTGAGAAGGCCCTCTGCCTGGTTCCCTGTAACCTTACTTCTTGTACTCAGGGATTTATGATATGTAAAATGAACCATGGAACGAGAAGAAGGGAAGTCACTGATGTCTTAAGGATGTAAAAGGAGTATTTTAAATTGTAAAACAGAAAACTTAATAAAATTATATACCAAAAAAAGAGAGAGCAGTGATGCAAAACATAGAATGCATTCATTCGAAAGTTCTGATGGATCCAATATGGAACTTACTTTCAAGCAAGCATGTGTTTACCCATTGTTTTCATTGAGGTATATTCTAAGGTAAGTATGCATAAGATTGCGGCCTTAAAATCGAAATGGTGCTTTTAGAGCAAGCAGGCCCCAGTAATTTTGGGAAGAACAATGTACCTCTCCTGGGCTTGCAGGTTTACAGTTTGATTTTAGAGTGTTGATCACCCTGTAGGATTTACCCTCAAGGAAATGCACGTAGGCCTTAGTTCTTAATAAAGTTAAGCAAAGATGTGTTCTGGAGCTTAAAGCAATTTGGGCACAGGTTTTCAGGCAACTTGACCTTGGGCATCTAGTCAATGTGATGCCTAAACTTTGTTATGAGGAAAAATGAAAACCTGGAGTCTCCTCAACTGCAAGAATATTTGCATATTATCCAGTCACTTAAGGCTGTGTTTATATCAACAGAGCACACATTGGCTAGATCAACCTTTCTCAACTTCAGGACCTCATCTGTTTTTGGACTACAACTCCCATCATTCCTAGCTAGCAGAACCAGTGATCAGGGATGATTTGAGTAGGCAACAAGATACAATGAAGATAAGGACTGGGTCACTGGGGGAAATAAGAGTTCTCCAACTGCTTTGATCTCCTTAGGTTGCAAACAACACCCAGTTATTGTACCACTCCAGTGAATTACCAGTGTGGTTTCTGAACATGTGGAAGTCATTTCTTCCCCTTCCCGTATTTTCTCAAAATGTTGTAGAATGATCCTCAGTTGTGCTTTCCTAGTTGCTGAACTGCTTGATCTTAGAAAGCAGCAAGTGCTTCCAGCCTCTGTGAGAAAGACATGATCTTATATTTCCTGTGTGTGGTATTAGTGCAATCCACAAGTTGGGCTGGTGTTGAATTGGAGGAGGAAGACTTAGAAGTGGAATCTGTCATTTTAAATATCAGCTAAGAAATCTTGGTAATGGTTATGGGCCTGCATACACACTGCACCTTTAAAACACATTTGAAGTGCATCTTCCTACCCCCCCCCAAAAAAAAGAATTCTGGGCAATGTATTTACCTCTTTTATTGTTACAATTCCCAGCAACCTGTTGACAAACTACAGTGCCAAGAATTATTTGAGGGGAGAAATGTGCTTTAAAGGTATACAGTGGTACCTTGGGTTACATACGCTTCGGGTTACAGACTCCGCTAACCCAGAAATAGTACCTCGGGTTAAGAACTTTGCTTCAGGATGAGAACAGAAATCGTCCTCCGGCGGCAGCAGGAGGCCCCATTAGCTAAAGTGGTGCTTCAGGTACAAGATGTGCCTGAGTTCCACTGACAAAATGTGAAAGATGTAATTTATGTGCTCAACTTTGCAGGTACAGTGATACCTTGGTTCTCAAACTTCATCCGTTCCGGAAGTCCATTCCAAAACCAAAGCATTCCAAAACCAAGGCGCCCTTTCTCATAGAAAGTAATGCAAAACGGATTAATCTACAACCCCTAAAACAGCAATTTAACATAAATTATCTAACAAGACCATTGATGCATAAAATGAAAGCAATAATCAATGTACTGTACTATAAAATAAGACAGTATTGTAGATGATAAAAACTACAATTAATTTTTTTTCTTACCTGCACTGATAATAGTCATTGTTTGGATGGGGGGCTTTTATCCATTCCCGCAGTCACACAATCAATCAATCAATCGGTAGCTGAAATGGGTTCCACACAGTCACAAAAACAAATGAACCGAAAAAGCCTCAAAAACAAAAACGCAAAATAAATAACAAAAACAAAAAGAGCCAAACTTAATCCGTTCTGGAAGTCTGTTTGACTTCCGATATGTTCGAAAATCAAGGTGCAGCTTGTGATTGGTGCAGGCGCCCCGGAAACAATATTTGACAGCTGCATTGGACATTCAGCTTCCAAAAAACATTTGAAAACCGGAACTCTTGCGAGTTTCCGGAGTTTGGGAACCAAGGCGTTTGAGTACCAAGGTGTTTGAAAACAAGGTACCACTGTACATTTCCATGAGATCACAGAGGTGTTGCCTTTCCTGTTGTCAGCAGTATCCACTATGGATATATATGGATATATATGGCTAATGGAGTACATTAGAATCTGGATGGCTTGTTGCAAAAATCCAAAAAGGTTCCTGTACCTTCAGAAGTTAGGTGATTATTTTGCATCTGACCACCCTAGGTACAATACCTTGTGCCAGAACCTCTGTGCTCTGAGTGAAGAAAGAACTAGCTTGAACACAACTGAGATGGTTCATGGGAAGAAACCTGCACGGTCCTAGTTTCATACGCCTGTGCGCATATCCCCCTCCCTCCATGTAACGGGTGGCATAGGTGCTGCATATGTTAACTTGTCTCAAGCAATGTAAATTCAGAGTGACAACTTTGCAGGTACATTTTCAGGAGACTGTGGAAGTTTTTGCCTTTCCTTTGTTAGCAGCGTTCACCCGTATGGTCTCAATGACAGACCTTTGGCGCCTCAGATTTAAACACCAATCTGGCATGAGACATTATAGTAAAGCGTATCCATTTGTAGGCTGGGAATGCATAACAAATTAAAATAACTTCCTGCTCACTCGCTGAGGAATCTGCGTGGTTAGAAGGTTTTAGTCCAAACCTGAGATGCTTTCTTCGCTCACTTCGCGAGCTTTCCAGAGTAAACGGACTCAAGTTTCCCCCAATCAGGAGAAGAAAGCACTAAAACTGCAAATTGGAAGTGAGGTTTGTTACATGAAAACAACAAAAACAAATTTAGTACCGTTGCTGTGTTCTTCCACCAAGAAAAGTGACGGTTCCAAGTTTTGTGAAGCTGGAAAGTTATCGCTTTCTTTAAAAAGTACCACTACATAAACAGCCATTACAAATGTTAACTCCAGACGGTTGGCAAAATATATAAACTAGCAATGCTCCGTGGACAATGTTTACGGAGAAAATGTTATAATTGCTTTGTTTTTGCATTTGTAGGGCTACTTGACTTTTCCAAAGGTTTGGGTTGTGGTACATGCGTTTACCTGGAGCTAAGCCACCCCACTGAACGCAGTGGGTCTTATTTCTGAGTAAACATATATAAGATTGCACTGTTATAGGCTGCTTATCTGTAATTTTGTCTCGGCCATTCAAGATAAGCACCTTAATGTATTCATATTTATGCATATGTTACCTAGTTACCTACTTTTTTTTAAGTGTTTGCCCACCACCTGGCCTGCTAAGGCCCTTAAGTGACTTAGGACATAAGAATACAGAAACATAAGAAGCCCAGCAAAATACATTTAAAAATACAGCTAAATTGGTTTTTTTTAAAAAAACACATTGTCATATCAGTGTAGGAAATTACTGTGTTGTACTCACGGGTGGCGCTGTGGGTCAAACCACAGAGCCTAGGACTTTCCGATCAGAAGGTCAGCGGTTCGAATCCCCGTGACGGGTGAGCTCCCGTTGCCTGGTCCCTGCTCCTGCCAACCTAGCAGTGTGAAAGCACCTCAAAGTGCAAGTAGATAAATAGGTACCGCTCTGGTGGGAAGGTAAACGGTGTTTCCGTGCGCTGCTCTGGTTTGCCAGAAGCGGCTTAGTCATGCTGGCCACATGACCCGGAAGCTGTGCGCCCGCTCCCTCGGCCAGTAAAGCGAGATGAGCACCGCAACCCCAGAGTCAGCCACGACTGGACCTAATGGTCAGGGGTCCCTTTACCTTTTTACTCATCAATTAGGCCATAGAATTAAAACCCTAGAGAAGCAGATATTTAAACTACCGAGAAGCAGATGTTTAAACTATCAAGGCTTAAGCAGGAGATAATTCTCACAATCTGCCTATGAGAGATGTGGGACAAAAGGTAGGCTCTGCTTTCCATTGGATTACCTTTTGGCCAAATGTGGGGAAGAAGGACTGTAGCTCACTGGTAAGAGTGTTTGCTTTAAATGCAGACAGTCTCTAGGTAGGGCTGGGGAGAGACTCTGCCAATCATTGCAGACAGTACTGAGCTATGGTCCAGTGGCCTGACTCTGTATCAGGCAGCTTCCAATATTCCTCCTAAGCCACTGTCATGCATTGAATTAGGTGTTTTGCACACTCCTCTGCAACCAACCTAAATGCAGGCTAGTGGTGTCACATCAGAAGCTGAATCTGTCTTTTTGGCAGGCTCAGTCAGCACTAAACAAATGTACTAAATTAAATACATGTTTCCCCCCCAAAGATACGTGTATGTGAAACTTGCAGTTATTGGGAAGGCATTAAGACTGCAATCTTGTACCCAGTCCTCAGAAGATATGTCCCACCATAAAGTGTTTCAAAAAAGAAGATCTTCAAAAGCGCCCCTAGTATTTTGTTTTTGTTTTTTTACATCAAAATAGCCATTGACTTAAGTTGATCTAAAATCATAAAAGTTTTGCTGTGACTGTCAAAATGTTTCTGTGGAAATTGGCCCTTGTTGAAAGCCGCTGTGATTTTTATTCTCCCTGTAACAGGTCCAAGGATATTACTTGAAAGTAAGATGTCTTTCAATTCACCTGTGATTTCAGAAGATGACCAAAAGAACCACCAGGGAATGAAAAGAAATTTTGAAGGCCTGAATAGTTCAGATTCACAGACTACGTCGATGTTGCAGGAAACACCACTTGAAAACCTACATCTAGCGCCTCAGACTGTTCTTGAAAGAGCCCCAAAACAAGGGAGATCAAAATGTCCCAGATGTAATAGTTCAAGGATGTTCTATTGTTACACATGCTATGTTCCAGTTGAAACTGTTCCCACTGGAGAAATTCCTGTTGTGAAGGTTAGTGCAAGATATATCTTATTTTTGATCTAATTTGTCAATTTTAGCAAGTTTTGGTCACAGTGAATCATTCTAATAAACGAACTGGGGAAGGATGAAGCGAGACTCATGTTTTTGCAATATAGTTTTAAAAACAAGCTGCGGCAACCCAAAACTCTGTTTTTCTTCAGAGCTTGCTACAGGCTTGCCAAACTCTAGTGGTATAAGAAGAAGAGGGGGCCCTGATTCCAGATGAAATCCCTGGTACTGCAAATCAGTTGCTATCCAAGGTCCTTTTTAATAGGAAAGATTGTCTTTCTGAGACCTTGGAGATGACTTCCAGTTAGAGTAGGTTGGGTAAAAGGCAGTAACATCTTTCATTCAGTCAGTCTGCAGCCTGCTGCTTTGACCCATAGGGCTCAGAAACAATTTATTTTGATGGAAGTTAATCTGGTCATTGTGCGTTCCCACTGCTTTAAGCAGATCTGCTGAGGAAAGCAGTGACTTTTAATAGGCACTGATGCAAAGTGTGTGTATCTTGTGCACTGCTGCCTGTACCCAAATGCAAAATGTTCAGCCAGTTACTTATTTTTCTTATGAAATGGAATGGGGAGTGCCTTTTCTCCAATGTATGTACTTGTGCTCTTGGTTGCAGCTCCCATTGAAAATTGACATCATTAAGCATCCCAATGAAACGGATGGCAAAAGCACAGCTGTACATGCCAAGCTCCTGGCGCCCGAAGAAGTTACCATTTACACATATCCTTGTATTCCAGACTACGAAGGAATGAGACACGAAGTAAGGGGTTGTCAGCATGGGGGAGATACTTGCTCTTTTCCTTCCTCTTTCCTTCTTGCTGATGGCTATGAAATCCACAATGCTGCTAGTGTTCCAAATCTCCACAAAGAGAATATCAGGGCTCAGCTGGGGTTCAGAATCCCTTCTGCATGTAGAAAAGGGAAAAATAAGTGGCTTGTTTGCTCCCCCACTCTCCACTTCTCTAAATTATACACCACAATTTGCCAGTTACCATATTTTATATCACATTTGCCACTTGTATTGGGTTCCTCCTGATTTGACAGGCAAGAAATTATACTTTTGCTTTTCAAGGGCTTTGAGAACTAGCAATGTGCCCAAGAATGCCATGGGCAAAGATAGCTGGCATGCCTGTAGCTGATCTGCTTTTTGGAATGGTGGTCCCAAGGGACAGGGATCACTTCCCCAAAAATCCTGATTGCTGGGGGTGGGGGTGGTCACTGTCTACTCCACCAGAAGGTCCATGACTTGAGCTTTTAGCACTAATGTCCCTTTGAGGAAAAATGGTGCTGCGCCTCCCGCTGTCCCCCGAGTTTGCGGGGCTGGCAACGGGGAGGAGCAGGCTTCTACCCCCCGCCAGCCTTCTAACCAAGTCGGGGGACAGCGGGAAAGGCGCACTGCGCCTCCCCGCTGTCCCCCGAGCTTGTGGGGCTGGCGGTGGGGCTCTCCTGAAGCCTGGAGAGCGAGGGGTCGGTGCGCACCGACCCCTCTCGCTCTCCAGGCTTCAGCGAAAGCCTGCATTCGCCCCATAGGACACACACACATTTCCCCTATAGGGCGAAAAATACGGTAGATAAATAGGTACTGCTGCGGCGGGAAGGTAAACGGTGTTTGCGTGTGCTCTGGTTTCTGTCACGGTGTCCCGTTGTGCCAGAAGCGGTTTAGTCATGCTGGCCACATGACCTGGAAAGCTGTCTGTGGACAAACACCGGCTCCCTCGGCCTGAAAAGCAAGATGAGCACCGCAACCCCATAGTCTCCTTTGACTGGACCTAACCGTCCAGGGGTCCTTCACCTTTTACCTTTACCTTTAGTGAATATATCTTTATTGCTTTAAAAGAAATACATTTATGAAGAGAAAACAAACAAACAGACAGACAGACAGACAGACAGACAAACATACAAGCAAGCAGGCAAACAATAGAAAAAGCAAACAAACAACAACAATATAAGAAACAGCAAAATTAATATGACTAACAACATTTATGCTCCCAATAATGAAAACAATTATAAAACTTGTAAAGAGAAAAATTAAAAACGACTTCCAATTAGTCTCACTGTACTTTATCTATTGGTTACCTTATACCGCACAGTTACATATTTCTGATATAGTTTCTTTTTACCTCCCTACGAACTTATATTTATACCATACAATACAAAACCCTTTTACCTTCACTTATAGGCTGAATGTGCAAGGAAATAGAATGCTGAACTTACTGCCAGTACGTTTCCGAGCACAATTCAAAGAGTTGGCGCTGACCTTTAAAGCCCTAAACGGCCTCGGTCCTGTTTACCTGAAGGAGCGTCTCCACCCCCATCATCCAGCTCTGACACTGAGGTCCAGCTCCGAGGGCCTTCTGGAGGTTCCCTCGCTGTGAGGAGTGAGGTTACAGGGAACCAGGCAGAGGGCCTTCTCGGTAGTGGTGCCTGCCCTGTGGAACGCCCTCGCAGCAGATGTCAAGGCAATAAACAACTATTTTACTTTTAAAAGACAACTGAAGGCAGCCCTCTTTAGGGAAGTTTTAATGTCTGATGATGTATTGTTTTTAATCTGTTGGGAGCCGCCCAGAGTGGCTGGGGAAACCCAGCCAGATGGGTGGGGTATAAATAAATAAATAAATAATAATATAATATAAATTATTATGATTATTATTAATAATAATAATACTGCGACAAGTTCACTTTTTGTAGGGGTTGGTAGGATGTGACACAAACACACACACCCCTGCCCACCAGCAGTTTTTGCTTTTGGGTGTCAGAGAAATTGGCTAGTCCAGCTTGAGAGCAGGCAAAGAGTCTGTCCTGCATTCTATCCATTCTTTCCTGCATGTTTTATGAGAGGGAGGATCATGTTACAGCCCTCTCACTTGCTTTTTTGTTGGTTCCTGTTGACACTAGTGTTTATGAAGATGCTGTGCTGAGAGGTAGTTCTGGTTTTTTTAGTAGCTGTGGTACCTTGCACGGATCCCTCCCATCCCAAATAACTCCAACATTGTGTCTGTTTTTCTTCTAGATTGCACTTATCTTTCCTGGGCCTAATTCAGTTTCAATAAATGACATTCCCCTCTGTTTGCAAAACAAATCTAAGAAGAAGGTTGGCTGTGACGAGGACGAGGACTCGTCAGCAGAACCAGTCCTCAAATGTGCGAAAACAGAGTCAGGCAGTGAAAGCGACTTGGGCGAACACCAGTTTCACAGCAGAAATGCTCCGTTGAAGAGAATTGTGTTTATTGATAGCACTTGGAATCAAACGAACAAAATAATCACAGATGAGCGGCTCCAAGGTATGCTAACACCAAATTCTAAAGCCCAGTGCTGCAGATTAATAAAAGTGCAAATTGAAGGGATGTGCTTGACACATCAGTCTCATTACTGCTTTGCATGAACAAATTGAACAATCCATACAGATGAAGCAATGGATCCCCATAGCTATACATGGGCATGCTTCTAGTCGCAATTGAATGCCTTGTGGTCCAACACCAGGTACAGTCCCTTGCATCCAGCCCCTAAGTGGACTGGTTTCCTGATTAGAGAAATGAAATTGTTGTTATATTTATTTATATCCTGCCCTTTTCCTGTACTGGGACTCAAGGCAGCTTCCACAAATCAAAACAACACAGATAAAACACAAAAAAGGAAAAAAGATTAATGTTAAAAAGTAATTAAACTCTAGTAGAATTTTAAAAACATAAGAAACAAATCTATTGAAATATGGGCAATAAAAATAGAACAGCACTATTAAAACCCTTTCCTTAAAAAAAAACAGTTCTCAAAGGCTGGTTGGATTTAATGATCAGAGGGCAGAGGGCCTTCTCGGTAGTGGCGCCCGCCCTGTGGAACGCCCTCCCATCAGATTTAAAGGAAATAAACAACTCTCTGACTTTTAGAAGACATCTGAAGACAGCCCTGTTTAGGGAAGTTTTTAATGTTTGATGTTTTGTTGCTTTTTAAAATTATTATTAATATTGGAAGCTGCCCAGAGTGGCTGGGGAAACCCATGCAGATGGACATGGTTTAAATAAATTATTTATTAATAATAATAATTAATAATTGATCTTATTATTATTTGTACCCCACCCATCTGATTGGGTTGCCCCAGCTACTCTGGGCAGTTTCCAACCTATATACAAACATAATAAAGCATTAAACACTAAAAAGCTTCTACTTGCTAGTGCAAGCATGGCCAAACTCAGCCCTCCAGCTGTTTTGAGACTATAATTCCCATCATCCCTGACCACTGGTCCTGTTAGGGATGATGGGAGTTGTAGTCCCAAAACATCTGGAGGGCTGAGTTTGCCTGTGCTAGTGGAAAAGCAACTAGAAGGGAGCCTGTCTAACTTTTCTAGAAAGGGGGTTTCAAAGTCTGTGAGGAGCCACCAACCAGGTCCTCTCCGTGTTCCCACCCACCATGCCTGTGAGGGTGGTGGGACCAAAGATCTTAAAAGCCTGGGCAGGTTCCTTCAGATAACCTTGGCCATAACCAACACTTGAGATTGTGCCCGGAAACAGACCAGTAGCCATTGGAGCTGCTGTAACAATGGAGTCGCATGCTTCCTATAACCAGAGCTCCCCTCTGCCTGAGAGTGTCTGGCAGCGGTTCTCAACCTGTAGGTCCCCAGATGATGTTGGACTACAAATCCCATCATCCCTGAGCTCTGGCCTTGCTAGCTAGGGATGATGGGAGTTGTAGTCCAACAACATCTGGGGACCCACAGGTTGAGAACCGCTGTATCAGTCTGTTACAAGTAGCTGATTTGAGTCATATGTACAATTTAGCGTATACATGTTCTGTTTTGTTACCTCTCTTAATGCAGGATTGCTGCAAATTGAACTGAAGTCGCGGAAAACCTGCTTTTGGCGTCATCAGAAGGGAAAGCCAGAGACGTACCTGTCTACCATCGAAGCAATTTATTATTTCCTAGTTGACTATCATAAGGAATTCTTGAAAGAAAAATATGAAGGACAGTATGACAACCTCCTTTTCTTCTTCTCGTTTATGTACAAATTGATAAAAAATGCCAAGTCAGCAGGAAAAGACTAAGGCAATATAATTTTCGTGTGAATAACAAAAACCAACCCCCTAAAATATTCCTTATGATCCATTGTACTTTATGCTTTTAAACTTATTAGTAACAATTGAATTAAATAAATTGCACAGTTGGCTAGAGGGTTTTTTTGTTTGTTTGTAAGAATGCAAAATGTTCCTGTCCTTTTTAGCCCAATCCTAAATCCAAACCCGTAACTTATCATCTGAGGCAAATCTCTCTTATGGTTCCCAAGAGACTCCAAATGGTCTGGGGACTTTACTGCCCTTGTTACATTTGAACATATTTTTTTATAAGCACCAATTTGGATGTTTGGAGGGTTTATATCAATTTACATATTTTAGAGAGAAGTACTGATGGCTGTTATGTTTTCAATGCGAACTGACAGTGTATATTGTTTTGTTGGGGGGATTTTCTGTCTCTTTTATCTTCCCCCACTTCTTTGCTAAATTTGACACTTAAAAAAAAGCTGGACTGTTATGGGAGTGTTGCCTGAAATAAAACTGAGACCGCTGCCTCTAAATAGAAATGTTTTCAGACTGTAATAAGCAGGGAAAATGCCAACATTTTCCAGTCTCTTTTCTTAAACATAGTAAAACTTAGTTCAGCTGTTTCACTCTATAGGAATGCACACTTCACCGTCAGGGATGACTTAATCCTGGTGATGTAACTGTTTACTAAAAAATGATTGGAACAATATTTCAGTAGACCAAAAAAAACAAATAACAAAAATCCAGGCTAATGTATTCAGCAGGATGCCAATGGTAAACATGTTTGGGTCTAAATTAAGCTGTAAAATTGCTTTGGTAATATTATAATAGCAGGTTTACTATAATGACTACTTCTATGTCCATTTCAGGTTGACAGCTTTGGTACTGCCAAACAAAAGTTTCCTGCTGGATTCTGAAATAAATTTACCAGGAGAAACATACATTTGCAGAGAAAGGTGCATTTCCTTCCAACTAAAGTTGGAAGGCTTGCAAAGGAAGCCCACAGCTGAGCCCTGCATTTTACATTGCAAATGAAGCATATTATTAGACAGTCGTACCTTGGTTCTCAAACGCCTTGGTACTTGTATGTTTTGGCTCCCGAACGCCACAAACCCAGAAGTAAATGTTTCGGTTTGCAAACGTTTTTCGGAAGCCGAACGTCCGACGCAGCTTTCGCTTGACTTTAGGAAGCTCCTGCAGCCAATCGGAAGCCACACCTTGGTTTTTGAACCATTCTGGGAGTTGAACGGATTCCCGGAACAGATTCAGTCCAAGAACCAAGGTACCACTGTACTGTGTGTAAGCTGTAGAGCCCACATTGGGGGAAGCAGAAGAAGGACAGACATTAACTCCTTTAAATGGTTTTCCCCCACTCCGCAACAAACAGTGCATTAAAACTGAAGTCCCACGTGTTACAGGGATGCGGGTGGCACTGTGGGTAAAACCTCAGCGCCTAGGGCTTGCTGATCGCATGGTCGGCGGTTCGAATCCCCGCGGCAGGGTGAGCTCCCGTCTTTCGGTCCCAGCTCCTGCCCACCTAGCAGTTCGAAAGCACCCTTAAAGTGCAAGTAGATAAATAGGTACCGCTTTATAGCGGGAAGGTAAACGGCGTTTCCGTGTGCTGCGCTGGTCCTGGCTCGCCAGAGCAGCTTCATCACGCTGGCCACATGAGCTGGAAGTGTCTCCGGACAGCGCTGGCCCCCGGCCTCTTAAGTGAGATGGGCGCACAACCCTAGAGTCGGACACGACTGGCCCGTACGGGCAGGGGTACCTTTTACCTTTACACGTGTTACAAGTGCTTCCTAACCTCTACCCAAAGCCCTTGTTTATTAAGAAGCTTGCAGGCTTCATACACACCACATTTCGTACAGGAGATGTTACCATTGGCCTAACAATCTGTTTAAAGGTGATGTGCCAAATTCACAGTTACCAAAGAACCAGCTGTGTTCTCCTCCTCCTCTTTGGAACAACTCATTTAATACAAGTACCAGTTGTGATTTAAAGGCACACACTCTTAACCATATTAACAGCTAGTTACTTAACTCGTTTCAGTAAATATCATTGATCAAATGCTGCAGGGATACAAAAAAGTCTGATTTTTCACTAAAAGCAAAATATATGGTTCCAGAAGCAATTCCAGTAGGTTTGTTCCTGAGGAGTGGTGATGTTTAGAAATATGCCTAAGTTTCATTCAGTGACAGTGCCTAGAATTATTTCCATTTCTTTTGCCCTTTAACTCTTTTTCTTAAGCTTCACAATGAGGTACAGAAACCATAGGCTGGTGGGGAGAGAAACAGAGCAAAGTTTCTAAATTACTATAGTGAAATAAATGAAGTCATTGGACATTTGATTTTGATTTAACTTTACACATTAATTTCTTCTTTTGATTATTTAGGCTGTCGTCTTCTTCTTTGGCGATCACTTGTAGCTGAGTAGGATTGAACATATTAGATATTTTTAGGGTTCCTGCTCCTTCAAGAACATAGCTAGGGGAAACTAAAATTGTGCTACTGATCTTCCAAGGAAATAAGTTGGCACTGGGCAAAATTTCCCCCCTCCTTCCCATTGAAACTATTTTGGTCTTATTGATCCATCTAACACAGTTAGATCAGAAGTCAGCTGAGATCCTTTTAATTGGAGGTGCCAGGGATTCATCCTGGCACCTTTGACATGCAAATCAGGCGATGTATCACTGAACTACAGGCCCTTGCCCATTGCTTAAGCCATGCTTGCATTTTATAATGGGGTGGGGAACCTGGGGCCCTCCCAATGTTGTTGGACTCCAACTTCCATTATCCTTGAACCTCTTCGTCTTTGGCGATCATTCGTAGCCAAGTAAGATTGTCTTCCTTAAACACGGTCTTAACAGTGAGTCCATACGTGACTATGGAGGCCAATTCTGGATCCGCACGTCCTTCCATAGTGGGGACATAGGTTTCTGGGTGGGAGTTGATCATGGTGAGGGTTTGCCAAGTGTGCCTTTCTCTTAGCTCATTTCTCCCTTTCGTCCTGAGTTCAAGCATCTTCAAAGTCCATGACACCTTTGGTAAAGGCTGTTCTCCAATTGGAGCACTTGCAGGCTAGTGTTTCCCAGTTGTCAGTGTTTATACTACATTTTTTTAGATTTGCCTTAAGAGATCTTGAAACCTCTTTTGTTGACCACCAGCATTACGCTTTCTATTTTGAAGTTCAGAATAGAATAGTTGCTTTGGAAGACTGTACAAGGCTGTACAAGGCATCTTACTCCTAGTTCTTGCTGTGATCTACCATGCACGGATAGGGCTTGCACTAGAGCCTTATCATTCTGAAAAGGGATAGATTTTTTATGGTATCGGTGTTTGGTAAAAGGAACCCTGTTGAAATAGCAGGTAAGGAGTGGCCTGCTAGATTGGACTAAAGGCCTATCAATGCCAGAGTCCTTTGGCCAAGTCATGTGGCTTCCTAGGTGGTTTGGGGAAGTTTAAACACAGTGCCTGGGCTGGGCCTTCAGATGTCAATGTCTCTAAAATGACATCTCATTTTGGTATCTTAACTGATAGTTGTTCTCCCTGATCAATTAAACCACGTAAGCTAAGTGGCCCTCCTCACAGCAATTTATGGTAGTTAGCCTATGAAATTAATTGTGCATGGTGCGAAGAAGTACTTCTATTTATCCTATATGTATCGCCAATCAGTTTCGTAGGGAGAGCCCAAATTTCAGGTGTTTGGGGAGGGCAGAGTAGGAAGGTAGTTTATTTCCCCAGTATGGGCAAAATCTATCATTAGTTTCATTCACACACACAAAAATGGATGGGTAGAACTGGCCAGCTGGTGTTAACATATTCATCTAATGGTGATATAGCAGAATACAGGCTCAGGGTACGTAGAATAACCCCTATTTAGACATGTAGTCTGCAGTCCAGTACATAGTGAAGAATCGTCCTTAAGGCTCACTGAATGGTAGCCTATGTTGCTAAAACCACTAATGTTATACAAAACTGTGTCATGTTTTTACAGCAAGAAATATCTTCAACAGTCATCTCTCTAATAAATTGCAACAGCAAATGCTTTCACCATCCATGTGTTGTTGTTTTTATTGCTGTCAAGAAAAGGGCATCTTGGCTTTGCGCAATGATTAATACTGTTTCCAGTGAATGACTTTTGACTGTCTCTCTGACATTTTCATCTCTCTGTGTGTTGTTAAACAAGGACTCCTTTGAACTTTTCCCAGGAAAGTCTCTAAAACAGCTTTGTGGAAGATTACTGGGCTATAATGGAAAGGGAAAGGAATCCGCCCACTGGAAACGCACATCAAAGCGACCCCCTGACCCAATGTATTCTCAACGATCAGTCAGAAGAGGCGAAACATAATTCGTTTTCTTCCAAATCACGTTACTTTGAAAACATTTTTAGTGTAAAAGTAGGGACAGATAAAACCTTATATAAACAAGTGTTGGTTTACTTTTAGAGTGTGTTACAATCCAGTTTACTCCTCTGTGAGTTTCAGGAGTCAAAGATCCTCTAGTGGACACTTAAAAGTGCTTCTCTGCAAAAAGAGAGCGGTCTAACCATTTTCTCCACCAGCTGCAACTTCTTGCATTGCAACTGATGCTGCTTTAGAGACTTTCCCTGACTTAAGCAGCTGTGGTTTTTTTCTTTTCTTTTTTAAAAATGAGGCTAATGAGAAGGGGAGGGGTCATTGGAACAAACACAGAAGGCATGATTTCCAATATATGAGATGTCCATTTCATCATAGCCAGTCACTTTGAGGAGCAGTTGGTCGGTGGCAAACCAAGCCATCACTCCCTTGAAATGGGCTGCTGCAACAAGGCCTAGACCTAGAGCCTATCCATCACTGATTCTCTACCCTGTCCTTGGTCTGGCAGCTGACGACACTTCTCCAGACCCAAATTGGCCCATCCCTTTCAGCTGCCTCCGATTACTTAAAGTGCTGTACAGTGGTACTTCAGGTTACATATGCTTCAGGTTACAAACGCTTCACATTACAGACTCCGCTAACCCAGAAATAGTGCTTCAGGTTAAGAACTTTGCTTCAGGATGAGAACAGAAATCTGGCTCCGGCGGCGCGGCAGCAGCAGGAGGCCCCATTAGCTAAAGTGGTGCTTCAGGTTAAGAACAGTTTCAGGTTAAGTACGGACCTCCGGAACGAATTAAGTACTTAACCTGAGGTACCATTGTAACTACAATGGCAAAGTTTGAGAAATAAGCTGCAAATGATGTCATTTGAATTTTTAATTACAGAGATTTACATTTTCATCCACAAAGGCACAGAAGCCAAAAAGGTAAAGGTAAGGTAAAGGACCCCTGGATGGTTAAGTCCAGTCAAAGGCGACTATGGGGTTGTGGCACTCATCTTCTGGTGCAATGGAACACCGAGATGGAAGCCAGAGCACATGGAGACACCATTTGCCTTCTCGCTGCAGCGGTACCTATTTATCTACTTGCACTGGTATGCTTTTGAACTACTAGGTTGGCAGGAGCTGGGGCAGAGCAACAGGAGCTCACCCCGTCACATTCGCTCTGGTGCTCGTCATGGTGTTCCATTGCGCCAGAAGCGACTTAGTCATGCTGGCCACATGACCCGGAAAGCTGTCTGTGGGCAAATGCCGGCTCCCTCGGCCTGAAAGCAAGATGAGTGCCGCAACCTCATAGTCGCCTTTGACTGGACTTAACCATCCAGGGGTCCTTTACCTTTACAGAAGCCACAAATTACTAACATGATCCAATACCTCA